AGACTTTAAGAAGTGATGAAAATGATCACCTACACAGACTCTACCACCAGGGAGGTGAAAGCAGCAACTAGCTCTAGCAAGCAGGGCAGGAAGCCAGACCTACCACCCTTGGTGGGCAGCTGACCCCATCGTGAAGACTAGGGTGATAAGGCCAGTCTTGCAAAATGGCAGGCTCCAAACCAACTACATTATGTTTGCTCAAACTAATGTCTGCCTTCAGGTCACAAGCACTCCACCAGGGGTAAGCCTGACTAAGCACTGGTCCCAACCTCAGGAAGCCCCAAATGTGCAAATGAGCAATATATGACCAAGCGGACAAACCAACCCAGAGTAAAGAATGAAAGAACTCGACACATAGCAGAGAGGACTACTTCTGAAAGCAAATTTCACACAGAGCAACTGTAACTTGGGATGAAACCAAATGGGTAAGGGCCAGGGCATGGCAGGAGGGAGGAGATGCCTGTAAAAGGCAGCACAGGGGACTTTATGGAGTGTGGAAATAGCCTATCTTAACCGAGGTGGCAATTTTTTTCAAGACTTACAGAATTATATGCTAAACATGAAAAAACAAAAACCAAAACAAATGCAGCCTCTTTCTGTGGCGAGGGCTACTAGGTGACCCAGCTTATGCTCACGCATCAGTGAAAAGGCTCTAAATCCTATGCTTTTTGTTATTTCTCCTATTTTCAGAGGATTAAAAGTTAGATGGCTTTGTGACTTTGGCAGGACAAGCCATTTCCAAAGTAAGGGTTAAGAAGGGCCATGACTGGGAAATTCAGATACCTTCCTCTCTTTTGTTGGTCTAGGGCAGAGGTCAGCCAACTATGCCACAGGCCAAAGCCAGTCCACCACTAATTTTGGTAAATAGTGTTAGTGGAATGCAGCCACACCAGCCACACTCACTCATTTACAGGCAGGGTCTGCAGCTGATCACATGACGGTGCTGGAGCTGAGTAGTGTAACAAGAGACCACTGAGTTTGCAAAGCCTAGAATCACTTGGCTCTTTACAGCAACTTCTTGTCACCCCTACCTCAGAGGAGCAGGTCCATGAAGCAACAGATAGGCTCCGTCCTCCCCCCACCCTGCCTCCACTCCATCCCTGGCCTGAGACTAGCATCTGGAAGGAGGACGAGCACTATTTCTGACACAAAGGGACAGCTCTGTATTACATCCTGAGCTCTAGGGACCTGGATTCTCCCACTGGCTTTCATCTGTGGCCATCAATCCTTCATAATTAAGTCTTACCAAACCACACTGTTTGGCCCAAGTAGAGTAGTATTATGGAAAGGCCTGGAAACAGTGACAAGGTGTGCCAGGATTTGCCAAGGGACCATAATTTTAAAAATTCAAGTGGTTTGGATGTGGTCTCTTTTAAGAAGACCAAGGTTAGACTTGTTTTAGCCTCAACTCTGCTCTCCTACAAAAGGAGAGGGGCTGCTGTGTAGAGATTGATCCCCCATGGAATATAAGGAAGAATGAAGTCTTATACTGCCAAAGCCAGGCCAGAGTTGCTCAGCTGCAAAGTTACCCAGCAGCTGGGCTCACTCAAGAAGTTTTTGTCCTGGTCTAGTCACAACATCATCCAGAAGGCTGGAAAATGACCTCACAATTGGGCTTTGGCATAGGAAGGGTGGGAGGAATGAGTGGGCTGACTCCACAGCATCACTGGCATGCATGAGGTGGACAGGATGGGAAAGGGAGCCTGCTCCTGGGAGGAGTCCACCCTTCATCTTTACCGTAGTGTCCTATATTTTGCCAATCTACTGCTCTGCTCTGCAGCGATCCTGCCAAAGGAAAGAGGGTTTGAGAATCAAGAAAGGACAGTAAGAAGAGAAATAAACTGAGGAAAGAAATGGCAAAACCCGACCAGAGCTGCCATTAGGGGCCAGTTTTTCCCAGGTAGCACCGGCTCCAGGACTTTTTATACAGAGTAGGTTTTATTCTTCTGATATGTGTGTGTATGTGCGTGTGGGTGTGTGTGTGTGATCAATCCTTTTGGGATTCTGATGAAAAGCATGGTCTTTCTCCCCAGAGGAACTTCTGCTAAGTAGGACCTAAAACAAATGGTTTCTATTTCACTCTCAGCTTGATTTTGTTTGTCTTGTAGGCAACATCCAGAAGAGAGAAGTTACCAGAGCAGTCTTCGGCTCCCTAGTACTGAGACTGATTGCTTCAAAGGAGCAGAGTTCTCTTTTGGAGAAACACAGTCCCCTGCTCTTTCCCAGATGCAACGTGCAGTGGCCAGGTAAAGACCGCTCAGGTGCAGAAGAAGGGACCAGCACCACTGCTGGTGCTAAAGGCAGCACCAATGGGACCCAGATTATTGTAGGGAAGCCAAGGAACATGTCTGTGCTGATCCCCATGGTGAGGCACCCCAAAAGCTCATTATGGAGACTGGTAGAGACAAGATCTTTGCCTCTTCCACTCATTAATGGCCTCCTGTAAAAGTTTCTCAGATCTGACTGACCTAATTTGTAGCCATGTTGGAAGGCAGCTATCAAGTTACATTCTGCCAGCACAAGTCCTGAAGGAGAGAAAGCGGGGCACATCTGCAAATGATTTCTTCCAAAGGTAAAAGCAATTCTGACCTTTTCTTATTGATCTTTTGTGGCTGAAATCACCAGTCCTGAAAGCCAAATCAATGAGAAACACCTATGTGACATTTAAATTTGCCTCCAATTTTGTTTTGAAAGTCAAGCTGCCATCATGTCAAAGTCTGACCATTTGTCTGATTCTCAGGCTGTCTGCTTCTTAGGGTGGTGATGTGGGCTCCTGAGCGATGCTCCTTGCTGGGGGGGGTCTCTGCAAAACCCACACAGCTTCTTCTGGAAAGCACACATGGAAAAGCTCCAGGCACTTTCAGGAGTTACATAGGCATCACTCTTAGGGGCCTAGAAGAGCAGGGCAGTATCCTCTGTGGCAATAGGGAAGGGAATTTTTATACAGCCAGCAAGTTAACAATCTTCCACCACAGAGCCTAACTCATATGAACCTTCAAAAAGCAATTTTCCTCTCATCCTAACAGGTAGGACCCATTATTGTGTTTTTCATAACATCACAGCTAATCAGTAAGGCCCTTTTCTTTTTTTTTTTTTTTTTTTTTTTTTCATTTTTCTTTTATTATTCATATGTGCATACAAGGCTTGGTTCATTTCTCCCCCCTGCCCCCACCCCCTCCCTTACCACCCACTCCGCCCCCTCCCCTCCCCCCCTCAATACCCAGCAGAAACTATTTTTGCCCTTATTTCTAATTTTGTTGTAGAGAGAGTATAAGCAATAATAGGAAGGAACAAGGGTTTTTGCTGGTTGAGATAAGGATAGCTATACAGGGCATTGACTCACATTGATTTCCTGTGTGTGGGTGTTACCTTCTAGGTTAATTCTTTTTGATCTAACCTTTTCTCTAGTTCCTGTCCCCTTTTCCTATTGGCCTCAGTTGCTTTAAGGTATCTGCTTTAGTTTCTCTGCGTTAAGGGCAACAAATGCTAGCTAGTTTTTTAGGTGTCTTACCTATCCTCACCCCTCCCTTGTGTGCTCTCGCTTTTATCATGTGCTCAAGTCCAATCCCTTGTTGTGTTTGCCCTTGATCTAATGTCCACATATGAGGGAGAACATACGATTTTTGGTCTTTTGGGCCAGGCTAACCTCACTCAGAATGATGTTCTCCAATTCCATCCATTTACCAGCGAATGATAACATTTCGTTCTTCTTCATGGCTGCATAAAATTCCATTGTGTATAGATACCACATTTTCTTAATCCATTCGTCAGTGTGGGGCATCTTGGCTGTTTCCATAACTTGGCTATTGTGAATAGTGCCGCAATAAACATGGATGTGCAGGTGCCTCTGGAGTAACAGTCTTTTGGGTATATCCCCAAGAGTGGTATTGCTGGATCAAATGGTAGATCGATGTCAGCTTTTTAAGTAGCCTCCAAATTTTTTTCCAGAGTGGTTGTACTAGTCTACATTCCCACCAACAGTGTAAGAGGGTTCCTTTTTCCCCGCATCCTCGCCAACACCTGTTGTTGGTGGTGTTGCTGATGATGGCTATTCTAACAGGGGTGAGGTGGAATCTTAGTGTGGTTTTAATTTGCATTTCCTTTATTGCTAGAGATGGTGAGCATTTTTTCATGTGTTTTCTGGCCATTTGAATTTCTTCTTTTGAGAAAGTTCTGTTTAGTTCACATGCCCATTTCTTTATTGGTTCATTAGTTTTGGGAGAATTTAGTTTTTTAAGTTCCCTGTATATTCTGGTTATCAGTCCTTTGTCTGATGTATATTGGCAAATATTTTCTCCCACTCTGTGGGTGTTCTCTTCAGTTTAGAGACCATTTCTTTTGATGAACAGAAGCTTTTTAGTTTATGAGGTCCCATTTATCTATGCTATCTCTTAGTTGCTGTGCTGCTGGGGTTTCATTGAGAAAGTTTTTACCTATACCTACTAACTCCAGAGTATTTCCTACTCTTTCTTGTATCAACTTAAGAGTTTGGGGTCTGATATTAAGATCCTTGATCCATTTTGAGTTAATCTTGGTATAGGGTGATATACATGGATCTAGTTTCAGTTTTTTGCAGACTGCTAACCAGTTTTCCCAGCAGTTTTTGTTGAAGAGGCTGCTATTTCTCCATCGTATATTTTTAGCTCCTTTGTCAAAGATAAGTTGCTCATAGTTGTGTGGCTTCATATCTGGATCCTCTATTCTGTTCCACTGGTCTTCATGTCTGTTTTTGTGCCAGTACCATGCTGTTTTTATTGTTATTGCTTTGTAATATAGTTTGAAGTCAGGTATTGTGATACCTCCTGCATTGTTCTTTTGACTGAGTATTGAGTAAGGCCCTTTTCTGATTTAAAAGCTCTTATGGTTGAGCTGGATTAAGGTGTCAGACTAGTCCCTAAGGATATGAATCATGGTGCCACATACCCTTGGACTCAAAAGCAGGGTTGCACTGTTGACACAATCATTCCTAGCCCACTTGGAGCCTCAGCCTATCCCCTGCCTTACCTTCTTGACTGCCTGTTTGGCCAGCATCGATTGCCAGCCAGAAACGTCACACTGCCCAGGATGGCCAGGTACTTCAGGGTCTGAAACATGTTGAGCTGAGTCCAGTAGACATACATGAGCCCCAGCATAGCTACAAGAGGAGGTGTCATAACATCCAATTAAACGATGACAATGCCTAAGGAGCAGGAGCAGGGGGGAGTTAGGAGCAGGCCTGCTGGGTCATGAAGGTCTGTATTTTTGACCAGCTCGTTTCATGCCTTTTTCCTCACACAGAAAGCAAATGACTCAATCTATTTGCCTCTCAGCATGTCCAACAGGAAATCCACAGGCAAAAGCAGAATTTAGCAGCTTTCTTTCGATCCATACTTCTGTGCATGTCTACTTTTAAATGTAGAGATGTGGGGTTGTTTTCATTATGTTTTGTCTAAAACTTTATTCTATTTGAGATTCATTTTATTTTTCACACTCTTCTTGTTCTTCTCTTTCTCTCTTTAAAACTCAGGGCTTTATACATGCTAGGCAAGTGCTCTACTGCTGAGCTACAGCCCCGACCCCTTATTGTTCAAATTCTTAATGAAAGCATGTAGGATACTAATAGATGAGTACTTTGTTTTTCATTAAAACCATGTTTTGGATGATTTGTCACTGTGACTAGAAAGGGGACAAAAAGGACTGAAGAGGAAGGTGTAGTGGAAAGGGCTCAGAGCTGGCGCTGAGAGCCAGGGATTCTGGCCCTGGCCCTGGCTCTGCCCTCACTGGCTATTTAATTTTTCTGAGCCCAAATTCTCTCACCTCTCAAACAAGATCATAATTTCTGCCCCAGGGACCCCATCACAGTTGTGATGAGACTCAAACGAGGAAACACATACAATAAACACATCGGCAAGAAAAGTCATGACTCTAAACATATTTATAGTCAGGTCTTGTGCTCAGTTTAACCCAAGAGAGCTATCACTCAAGTTCAGTAACTGATCTGGAGAGAAAGGTCATCCTGTCAGTTTTTACCAGAAGGATGATGGATGAACTATAGCAGGGTGCTTAACCATTTTTGACGTCATGGACTAGTGTGAAAATCTGATCAAAGTTATGGACTCTCTTTGCCCAGAAAAATAGACTCACATTTGCCTGGAATGTCAAGGGCTTCATCTATGAACCCCTTCAGAGCTCTGTACTATGAATACAGAGATGATGGCTCCCAAAAGAGGCAAAGGATTTAAAAAACACTGATGTCTCAGTTAGAGGCAAGGCAACACTGATTCAATAGAGTCAAAGTGTCAGAAATGCTTAAGTAATTTGTGAATTTACTGTCTTGTTATGTTTAGGCTGTTTACATCCTAAGTTCTCAAGAGAACAACATGTCTGCCTGTGGAAGGGGCTGTTTTCTATTACTGTCCAGACAGAGCCGCCAGCAAACATGAAGATCAATGCAGTGGGGGAAAGATAACCTTTGGAAACTGCATTAATGCTCTTCATTCAGGAAGACCACAAAGTGCAAAGATACAATAAGTGAGTAATCTCTGAAAACGAACAGGGCTATTAAATGAGGGTCAATGGCCTGCCAACAGTCTCCTAGTACAATGAGGCCCAATATAATGACAGCTGTTCTAAGCTGATGGGCCAAACAGGTTTATCATCATATTAACTGTCCTAAAGGCCTGGAGGAAACGGGAAATGTCATGCTATTAAGTCATTACGGTTAATAGGTTGTGGGTCTACTTAACAGGGCTTTTGGTGGGCAGACAAAATGTCAGAGGAGGTTAAATACAATTAGCAAGCCTGGAGCACTTACCAGCATGTCCCAGGTGAAAGATAATTGTGCTAGGAGCAAAAGTGAAGTTGGAGACATTGGCACCAATCCGGATCCACTGAACAATGTGGAGAAATAAATTAAGAAGACATTAGAACTTGAAAGAGAGACAACACATATCATGCCAATGCTGACCCAATGAACAGCCCAGGGCTTAAAAGTTCATGCATACTGAAAAGACAGGGAATTTTTCCAAGTGACAACCACCCTATCATAAGCACTCAGGAAAAATTCTCCCCTTTTTTCTTTGGAAAAAAGCACCTGCTCTCAAGTGTCCTTGGGTTCTCAGAGCTGAATATCATTTAGTTTTCTCAAAATTCCCTGAACTTTGAGGATATATGCCTATGTTTATAATATTAAAAGAGAAATAAGGAAAAAAAGCAAGTCATCAGTTAAAAAGCGTTACAAACTGTTAATGAAGTATAAAAGGTAAAACTTTTTTTCCTCTATACTCTCTAAAATGTCTTCTCCTCAGAAGTGACCAACACTAATATAACTAAAAAATGTTTTTTTCCACAAAGAATATCACACTTAACATGCTCTCCTACTCCTTGCCTTCCTCCCTTAGCATGCTGGCATATCAGCGCATAGGGCCTACCTGTTTTGTTAACAAGCTGCATATTACTCCATGGTAGGGTGAACTGATTAACACTTGCTGCTAGGAGGACTTTAGGTTGTTTTCTTTCAGGCTTCAGAGCTGGCATGCACATCCTCTGATTCTATTCTTACAGCTATTGCACTGGGCCTTGCTTTGTTTGTGCTCGATCTCATCTGAACACTCCTGTGGAGCAGCACCACAGTCCACACACTTTTGGTGACTAGCAGGAACTTTCTCATACCCCTTGTTATGAGTCAGTTTATTTGGTCGCTCCCCTATAGTGAGGAATTTTGGTTATTCTACAATTTTTTGACCATCAGTTCAGGTCACAGCTGCTGAACCCCACTGGAGCTATGAGGCCACAGCACAAAGCCTCCTTTGGAATGACTACATCTGCCAAGTCTGGTGCCAGACACACGCTGTCCATACTAATTACAGCAACTCACCAGAGCAAAGAGCAGGAGCAAGGGCGAGAGGATCAGGGCCGTGAATGTATTAGACACCACTGTGGGGGGCCTCTTTTCAGGCTCGCGGAACAGGTGCTACAAAGAGAACACACACCAGGAAGACTTTAAAACGTGCCCTTCCCAGCAGAGGCTGCCATGGATACTAGGGGCCATAATGCCAACAATAATCTTGAAGATGAAATGCCTCCCAGAGGCTAATGACTCCTGGCAACCAGTGACTGCTTGGCTGATGTCTCTTCCCTACACTGGTTTCTGACCCAGAAGTCTCCCTTCCTGGGATGCCGCATCAGTCCCAGCCACGCTCGGCCAGGTTTTCCACTTCAAAGACTCACTGTCATTTGGAGGCAAGTGGCATGTAGCTTGTGTCAGAGAGGTGGGACTCTGGGCTTCACAATGCTCAGGCCCTGTGCTGCGGCTGTGCTTCTGTCAGTTGACTGGCAGTGACTACACACCCTTTTAAACTTAATAGAACCTTGCTGCAGATGACTCTAGCCCTAACTCAGGCCACTCTCTCAGCCACAGCTCTGAGGATGCCATGGACACCCTTTCTCCCTCACTCACTGCTTAATCTCCAGAGCTAAAGCAGAAGGTTGGGCAAGTGTTCCTCTTCTGACACGAAGTCTTTGAGAAGCTCACCTACACAGCATGACCAAGCAGCAGCAGTGATGAACTAGGAGTCCAAAGACTATTTAGGCCCAAATTGATGAAATAGCTCTGCCAGGCAAGATACTTACCACCCTTTGCCTCAGTTTCCAGCTGGAAAGTAGGCTTGGAGAAAGCAATGACTTCTTTATTAGATTTGTAAGGGTACCATGAGGACCAAATGAAGTAGGGCTTTATTTGACTCTGCTGTATTAACTGCAACACACTTGTGCAAACCGAACTTTTTTATTTTAAAAAGATTTGTCCCTCCAGTGTATAAACCATGTCTCTTTTCTTCTTGCTGATGCCTAGCCAACCCAGCTCCATGATGAGGCAGCCCTCACTGAAGGCTCCTGCTCCTCATTTTCACCTCAGCTCCTCATTGCTGCCACTGCCATAAAGGCATTTCTAATACTTTCTGTAGTGGTCACTGCTACCTACTCCACCCTGCCTATCAGTCAACAGCCTTCACTGTCACCACAGAATGTTCTGCTAAGAGTTTGACAGCAACATGAAGAGGAGTTTCCAAAAGAATCCTATTTACCTGTTGAGCCCTTGCCCTTATTTCAATAGTGAGGTAAGAGCAAGCAGTCTCACATGGATGTCCCTATGTTACTACACATGACCATTTCTCACAGCTATGGAACGATCTGCCAAGCAGATCCACCTGTTTCCTTAACCAGTACCCAAACTGTTTTGCAACCATTGGGTTGATTTTGTGAAGGGTTTCAGAGACATTTTAATTCCTTTCTTTCCTTACCCCATTATTGATTTTGACCCTCACAATAGTCCTATAAGCTGGGCAGAGTTGGCTCATCTGTTGTTGTTTTTACAGTGTTGGGATGAACCCAGGGCCTGTGCATGCCAGGCAAGTGCTCTAACACTGAGCCACATTCCCAGCCCAGGGCTTGCTCTTTCTGTTTGAAAGGAAGGGAAGCCCTAGGAAAGACAAGGACTTGCCCAGGAACCAGGTCTGTTCCGCCAGATGAGTTTGCCCAATCAACCCTGAGTTATGCAGCAGCAGAGGGGATAAAGGCTAAACCCATCCGTGCCTGCGGCAGCCCAGCACTAATCTGCAACCAAGCACCTTGCGTGTCAGGAAAAATGTACTTATATTTGATTTCATCTCCAGCTGTGCTCTCTGGGAGCTCCTCACTGGGCTCTCTGAACCTGCTCATTCAGCTTAGGATGGGATTGCTGTTTTCCCTTCTAATTCACAGGGTGGTGAGGCTCAAACTCTGAAACACCATGTAAATAGGTTAAGGAGGCACTTCTCTCCATGTTAGTGGATTAGGCCTTTGGGATCTACCTGGATTTCCTGTTTTGGGGTGAAAAGGTTCTGAGACAGGACAGTGGAGGGAGCTTCTTCTTCAGGGAACTTGATGATGACATCAGCCTAGAAAACAAGGACAGTCTTTAGAGACACAGTGGAGAAACGCCTTGGCATGACGATAGTCCCTGATTCATATCAAAAGCTCCAAGCAGTCCAATCACTTTGGATCCATTAACTGACAAATTAAGGCAATAAAAATTTTAAGATCGAAACAAGTATTTGTTGAAAATGCTTTTTAGAGCAAAAGTTCCAATTTTCTACCAGTATGGTAGAAAAAGCCTCATAGAGTTACTTAATACAAAAATCCCAGCTAGCACACTGGCTGTTTCAGTTGTAATGAGAAACTGCATGGTGTCCCTGGGAAGTATGATTTAGTCACATTAACAACAACAACAACAACCACACAAAAAAAAGAACTGAAAATTCACTCTCATGCAAAAGTAGATCGAAGTCCAAGAAAAGGAGCCTTGAACACACCAGGAGAAAAGGCAGCTAGCTGCTCCTGTGTCCTGCACAAGAAGCAGCCCCGTTAGAGGCTGCAGCTGAGCCTCTGCTACCTCTCCACCTCTTCACCTACTGCTGTCCACCCAGCTCAGGGCTCTGAAAACTACTCGCATCTCACCAAGAGCACCATGAGCTTCTCTGCAGGCCATTCCACGCCATCCCACAGCCCCCAGATACCATTACAAGACACTCAGGCCTTTCCTTAGCTACTTGCTCAAAAGCCATGTCCTTCAAGAAGTTTCTATCATCATATCAATCAAACGTGAGGCATGCAGGGGGAGAGCACTATGTAAATTGTAACTTGCTACACAAAACGGTGGTTGTCGTTAGTTTATTAGCATTTTGCACATCTTACAATGTACTATCCTACAAAATCCTCAATTGTACCCAGATCTCAAAGGCCAGAGCCTTACCTCTTCTATGTGTCCTCCATAATGCTTTGCTGTATGTAACATGAGAACATCCTCCCAGTGTAACATTTATCGAAATTCACAGATCACTAAACTCACAAGAGCAATCTACATTCCATTCCTTCACTCAATCAATATTTATTAAGCACCAACCATGTGCAAACCATGTATGTGACCACAGAACTACTTATAGAGACAGGATATGATGCCTTGCCTTGTAATGCCTGTGAATGCTTGTGGGCAGGATGGGCAAGGCTTGGGTGAAGAGCCTGTGGCCTGAAAGGAGCCATTTGTGTCTGACCACAGCCCAGCCATCCTCTTTTAGTCAGGGTGCATTCAGACACATACCACATTCCATAGAATTGGGTTCTTCAAAGTGGCATCTCCAATGATTAAGTAGAGAGTGTAGGTGCCTGAGGCAGAGTCAAACTCGATCTTTCTTTCAGAGGTGTCCAGTTCAAACTTATACACATTCTTGTTGTCTGGCTCAGCAACAAACACCACTTCTTGGCCGGTCTTCTGGTTATGGAGTCGGACAAATGTCTAGATGGAACATAATACAACTTTCATCTGATCATTTCAAAACTCTTTGTGGATCCAACATAGAATCAGCCAGGCACAGACTGCCAGCTCTTTTGTCACCATGAGACCGGCCTTGGAAAGTGCAAGGAGTGGCCATCCCACACTAGTTTCAAGCTAAGAGACAACTTTTTGCTGGTAGAGGGAAAAAAAGTTGACTTAGGGCCCAGCCAACTCTTGATAACTTGGAAGCTGAATGGCCAGTTCATGCATGATTTAAGCCCTATGCTACTGCTGCAATTTCTTCTTTCTGCCAGCCTTTTAACTGGGCCACTTTGCTGCCCAGTTAACTTCTTCACCAAAGGGTGAAAAGGGAAATGAGGTGGAACTGGACCAGGTCCACTTTCAATTTTCTAGTGCCTCCAGCTAAGGATTTAGTAGAGGACGCTTGGGTGTCGACAGCAAGGCAGTGTTCAATTGAGCACAGCAGTTCAGTGTCATGGAGAGAGCCTCAGCTCTGAAGACAGACAGGGCTAGCTCCACTACTTATTAGCTGAGCAGGTTACTTAACCTCCTTGAACTGTGACTTCTTCATCTTTAAGGAAAAAAGATTACTTTCTATGTATGGTACAACTGCATGCCATGATAAAAGATCTGCAATGACGTATGCAAAGCATGCAGTGCACGGCCAGGTACATACTAGTGAGTTAACAAACAGTAGCTAATTGTATTCACTGTGCAGTGGGACTGGGCTCAATGACTATCTCCCAGTGGCACAAGAAACTAAAGTTTCCACATAGCACATATACAGATCAGAGCTTTTTTTTTCCATGGCTATTTATTTTTGCACTACTGGGGTTTGAACTCATGGCCTACACCTTGAGCCACTCCACCAGTCCTTTTCTTGTGATAGTTTTTTTGAGATAGGGTCCCATGAACTATTTGCCAGGGTTGGCTTCAAAAGTTGATCCTCCTTACCTCTGCCTCCTGAGTAGCTAGAATTATAGGTGTGAGTCACAGACACCCAGCTAAATTTTATACACATACACACACACACACACACACACACACACACGTGTATATATAATATATATATATTGGCAGCACTGTATTTTGAACTCAGGGCCTCACACTTGCCAGGCAGGTGTTCTTATTGCTTGAGCCACTCTGCCAGTCCTTTTCCATAACTTTAAAATAAAAAATTCTACAAGGCAGGGAGGCTGGTTCCAATTCATAGATCATAAGGCACAAGCATTAAATAAGTTGCCATGGCCACACAACTAGTGCTAGATCTACAGAAAAAATGTAAACCTCGTTTGTGACTCTACACCTGGGCAACAGAACATATCCATCAAATTATTTAGGGAAAGGAGCCAGAGATGTGCAGCATCCCAGCCACAGTGATTGGTCCTGCTAGGAATGGGATTTAGGAACTCAGATGCCTGATCTTCCTCCTATCACAGTTAAGTGCAAGTGGCTGCCAAGCTCATTGGCAAAATGCCATCGCTACCTGGGAGGCCTCCAAGCCATGGTTTCAAAAAAGAATCTGGGAAGAGAGAAGTAGTTGTAGTTCCTCACCATCTCTTCCAGCCCTAACACTACCCCTCCAATACAGTCTTATTTCTCTTTGTTTTTGTTTGGCTTTTTGAGACAGTTTCACCCAAGGTCTCAATTCTCCTGCCTCAATCTCCAGAGTGCTGGGATTATGGGTATGCACCACCACACCCAACTCCCAAATTAGTTTTATAATTTCTTTTCTTCACATTTTCCCTCTGGTGCCATATGGTTGGCAAATGTCTTTCTGGGACAGAATTAGGAAATGCTAAGAGGTTTTGAAGTGCTTAAAGGTCAGTTAGCCAGGGCTAAGTACCCTAGCCAAGGTGCCTGGAGGTTGGGGTTGGAGGGGATAGGAGCACAGAACTGCTGGACTATGGTCCCAGTGGCATGCTCGGGACACAGGTGCCACGGTATCCGTCACAAGAAACAAGCAAGAAGGCCTGCAAGCAAACCCACTCACCTCATGGTCTGCTCTGAAGCTGCCTCTGGTTCTCGCTAAAGCATCAACAGAAAACACCTACACCAACCCTGTTGATTTTACACTCTCTTTCGGCCCTCAAAACATCTATATGAATTTTCCTTTACACAGCACTCAATCAGTTATGTGGCAGGGCAGAGAGCCGCTATTTCAATTCAGGGTTATGACAGAGGAGGGAGGTAGGAAGAGGTGGGAGGTAGGAAGAGGTGTATGAGGACCATATTAGGTTCCTGAGGAAATAGTAGGAAAATCTTTTAATTAACTTTCTTTTTATGATAGAGTATTTGGCTAGCACGCACAAGGCCCTGGGTTCAATTCCCAGTACAAAAAAACTCATATTTTTTTCTATTTTACACATAAAAAATTAAAGCCTACTGCTTTTATAAGATGAAGCAGGTACAAGTTTAAAAGAGCTTTTCTTCAGAGTCCCACAAGAGAAAATCTGCTTTGGCCAGAACAACAAAATACTTTGGATTCTCTGCATAGTTTTCCTTTTTTCAAAATTATTTTAATATACTCCTCTTCTTTTAAATCAAAAACTTAAAAAGGCTCACTTTAGTGCTAATTTGCCTTAAATACATCTTTGTAATACCAGCTAATCTTTTAAAGAGAGATATAAAATTCAGGTGTAGGTTCTAACCAGTATGAGAGAGGTAGAGCATCCTGCAGGAAAAGCCCATGGTCAGGGTCAAGGAGCAGGAATGGCATTTTCTCCCATAGGGGCTACACCATCCCACTGCTCCAGTATGCATTTGAGCTTCAGGTCAAGAGAGCTGTGGGGGCTTCTTCCTGACCTGGTGAGGGGTGAGCTCAGCACCAGTGTTCACATCCACCAGCTGGAAGAACAAGGCGAAGTTCTGGTGGCTGTCTGCGACGAATGTGCCCTTTGCTTTGGCTGGATAGGTCACTCTGAAAGAGACATTGTGCAGTCAGTCTTCAGACGGTATCTGCATATCTCTGACAATATGCAAGAAATACACCCTTCCTGTTACCCTCTAATCCTCCCTCTTCCATCACACCACTCCTGTCGTGGAGACTGGTGCAGAGAAATGCCTGTGGCCCGGGGGCAAAGTGAATCCATAAACCAGGACTGAGAAAAGGTTTTTTCCTTTTTTTTTGGTGGTATTAGGGATTGAATTCAGCACTTGCCCCTGCTATACATGTGCTCTACCACTTGAGCCATGCCCCCAGCCATTTTTGCTTTAGTCTTTTAAATTAATTAATTAATTTTATTTCCTCTACTGGACTACCCTTTCTTCCTTAAACGAGTTGTATTTCCTATTTTTTCATCTTTTGGTGGTACTGGGATTTGTACTCAGAACTCTGCATTTGCTAGGTGGGCACACTATCACTTAAGTCACATCTCCAACCCATGCTTTAGTTATTTTTCAAATAGTTTTGTGTTTTTTGCCTGGGGTGGGCCTTAGACCAATCCTGTTACCTGTGCCTTCCCCCAGATTACAGTTGTGTGTCACCATGTCCAGCTTGTTTGTTGAGATGAGGGCTTTGCTAGCTAAGTTTTTGTCCTGGCTGACCTTGAAGCTTGATCTTTCCAATCTCCACCTTCCAAGTAGCTGGAATAACAGATTTAAACCACTGTGCCCTGCATAGTTTTTTCTTTTTTTGCTTTTCCATGCTGGGGACGGAACCCAGGGCCATGTGCATGCTAGGCAAGTGCTCTACACTAAGCTACACCCTTAGCCCCAGGCCAGGGCTGAAAAAGCACAGGGTGAACTTTCATCAGGATCTGGGGAAGATGCTTTGTATAGATGTTTATACTTCTAGGCTTTATTTCAAGGACCTAAACTCTTGACCACGTCAGGAGCTATGGCCCCAAGTACTTGTGTATAGGCACATAGACTGAGAGCCAGGCTGACAGAGTGGCAGACAAATAATATGTGAAGCAGGCCAGCAGGTGAGCCAGAAGTGAATACAAAGGAAAGAAGGGGATTTGACCTTTTTCTTTTTTATGATAAGGGAAACTTAACACTGTTTCAATTTATTTTTCTGCCTTGAAACTGTCTTTTATAAAGTCATTTTCTCAAAAAGATAGACTTGATGAGAAAAACTGTTCTTTCCACAGCTATCTCCGGGGTAAGATGGCCAGGAGATACACAGGCCAAATGAGGACAGAGCTCACACCTGGCTTTGTATTTACTCACAAATAAGGCCAACCCTTAACTTCTACAAAGAATTAAAGTTTGCAAAGCACTCTGATGGACTACTTCAGTGGGTGCTATTTCAGAGATAGTGCTTTCATCCCAATTCACTATGATGGTAAGTCAGAGACAGAAAGGAGTGACAATGACTTCAGGCTCTGTCTAACATCCCATCCTCAGGGTTCATCTGCTATCTTCTGGCCTCTACAGCCACCCAGCTGAGTAGACTGGGATCTGAACTAAACTCAGAGATCTAGATGAGCCTGCTACTCCGCAAAAAATAAATAAATAAAGATCTAAGGAGGGTTGATATAAATGGGCTTCATACAGCATTTTGGTCACCTGGAAGTTTGTGCTGAAGAAAGTACTGGGAAGGGGAGTGGCAACCTTAGTGCTAGGTATTTGCCATTCCAGTTGTAAGGACCTGTGAAGCTACCAACTGATTTCAGACCCACCACAGGCCAGAGAGAATTGCTGTGAGACCACTAAAAGAAAATTCAGGACTGTGAAGATAAGAAGACTGCACCAGAATGTAAGTTAATATATTGTTTCTTTCATTGAGAAAGTTTCATTATTAAAGAAAATTGTCCAGCTTAGACAATTAGAATTAAGGTAGTTACTTGGAAAAATAAATTTAAATATTATGTTTTCTGTATTTTACTGAGTTTCTGCTGAGATGGATGTGTAAGAGTGATTCTGGGATACTGGAGTCTTTAGCCCAGAAGTTTTTTTTAAAGAAATGAGATCTCTGTTTATCCTATGGAAAGGTAGAAGAATGGATTAAATCACCTTGTGGAATTCCTGAAGTACTGTGATTCTAGAAATGTAGCCAACGGAATTTAATTTAAAAATGAATATTATAATATTCTTCATACACCAGCACTTCTTATAAAACTTGAAAAAAAAAAGGAAATTGTCATCTGAACTAAATAATGTGCTTAGTGACACTGCTGGGTCAGAATTATATCCCTTATTGCATTGCAGATGGGAAATAAACAGGCAGCTCATGGACTAAACACCAGCACAAACAACCCCAAATCTGCTTAGTTGCCCAGGAGAATCCCTATAGCAGTACCAGTGGAATGGAGCCTGGCACAGAAATGCATTTGGAAGTGCACAGTGCCTGGGCACTGTGCTTTGAGCCTGGGTCCCCAGTACCTGTGTGGCAACCCACCTACCGAGTAGTTTTGGGTGCAATGCTCTGATCCTTATCCACAGTGGAAAGATCGACATTTGTGATGCCAACTTCAGTGGAGATCTTGACTCTGAGCTAGAGCAAAACACAGAATACAATTGCCAAGTCAACCAGTGCATATGCAAGGAACTAACATGGACAACCAGAGTTTTCTACGTGTGTGTGTGTGTGTGTGTGTGTGTGTGGTGCTGGGGATCAAACTCAGGGCCTCATGTGATGGTAGGCAAGCTGTCTACCACTGAGCTACATTCTCAGCCCAAAGTTTCTACTCTTAAAGAAGAGCAAAGGCATGTAAAATATCCTGGACAAAAGTCTGAGGATCACAATAAAACTGACCCAGCCAGGTAGTATTCCCTACCTCTTCCATCCTGAGGCTAAAAAGGTAATTCCTTGATTCTTATCTCTTGTTCCCTTCTCTGGCTTTGGATAGATGGTATACATTTAAAAAGGAAGAGAGCTGGGCGCCAGTGGTTCATGCCTGTAATACTAGCCACGCAGGAGACAGAGATCAGGAAGATGGACTTTTGAAGCCAACCCAGACAAACAGTTCGGGAGACCCTATCTCAAAAGGATTCAACACAAAACAAAACTGGTAGAGTGGCTCAAGTGGTACAGTACCTGCTTAGCAAGAGTAAGGCCAGTTCAAACACCAGTACTGCCCACCCCTCCAAAAAAAGGGGGTGAGGAGAAAAGAAAAAATAGTAGATATTTTTGTGTCCTTTAAAATAAATAAGGGGGAAATCCTTAAGCTGTAATGTTTAAATAATTCAAATCAATAAGTACTCAATTCTAATGACAGCAAAAAAAATGTAAGGCACTGGCTTTCTTGTAAAGACTCATTTAAATAATTCTGTAAGGTAGTGCTATTTTAGATGAGGAAATTAAAGATGAGAGAGATTAAGCTGCTTGCTCAAGATTAGATAGTAAGCATGGAGCCAGAATCAAAGTTCACTCACTTAAAATCCACCACAGGCTTACGTACCTTGTAAATAACTTCCTATCAAGAGTCTGCTCTAGAAAGTGCTTAACTCTGCTCCTGAAGACCCAAGAAGTTGTGCTGGTTCTCACTATACAGTTCATCAAGTACTTTTTTTTTTTTTTAAAAGAGTGTTTCACTATGTAGCTCAGGCTGGCCTTGAACTCTCAATCCTCCATCTTTGGCCTCCCAAGTGCTGGATTACAGGTGTGTACCGTCATATCTGGTTAGCAAGTATTTCTCATTCTCTGTCTGCCCATGTGGTAGAATTCTACTCCCTCGCCCCCTTGGAGTCAGGTGTGGCCATGTGGCTTGCTTTGGCCAGTAGAATGTAAGCAGCAGTAAACTGTGTCATTTCTGGATGGAAACTGTAAGAGTTTTCCTCAACATGGACATAGACAATGTGCAGAAGAGGCTTCCTCCTTTAGTCAACTGCTGGAGTAAGGATGACATGAAGCAGAGCCTTAGCTGACCCCCTAAAGGAACCCAGCAGGAGCAAAAAATAAACCATGGTTGAGATTTGGAGTTTGTTATACACACAACTCTGTCCATCTTGACTCTTCTCTTATAAACATTTCCACAAAAAGGAGTTAACTAATGCCAGTAAATAAGAAATTTAAAAATTGTGTTAAGATAAACGTAAATCCCAAAAGAGAAAACTTAAGTCATGCATTGGAATTATTTGAGTTAAAATTTAAATTTTAATGTTCAAATTATGCAAACCCAAGGCATTTTTATGTGCAAACATATCTGTGAGTTTCACAAAAAAATTTGATAGGTTTGAGTGGAACAATTAAGGGAATCCTTGCCAAATTCCCTGGTTTATAATCTAAGTCAGGATGAAGGAACAGAGATCAAGGGCTGAGCAAATAATTGAAGGAGAACTTCAGCATTTTTCTACAATGCCTTATCAAGGTGTGGCAGCCTCAACTCAAGGGCAAAGAAGAAAAATTAAAAAGGGATAAAAGATATCCATCAAGTATTTCTTTTTAACAGCCTTCTCTCCTGCCTCCGTAATAACTGTTTAGTGACAACAGCCTCAATTACCAAGTTGAATGCAGTGCAATTTTGCTTAAAAGCTTTTTTTAATGTAAAAGATTTGTTAACAGAAGCTGTGAGGACATTATCATCTACTTTTGAATATGAGGCCACCTACTGACAGAATTATATACATCATTACCTACCAGTGGGTCTAGGCAACTGGGTGGTTATAGCAATGGAGGAGGTTAAGGATAGACATCAGGTGGAGAGCCAGGAGCCTCTACTTTGGCTCTCAGAGTTGTCCAAATAGTCTTATAACTCTCAGGATTCAGAAGCAGAGCAAGCTACAGCATTTCCATGTGAAGAAAAGCAAGAGGAAGGCTCAAGCAAAGTAATCTAAGAGTTCTGACTGGGCCGCTAGCTTTTACCAGTGTACCAGCTGAGACTGCTTTCTCTACCTCCTTCTATAGCACATGGACCACCTAGGTTCAGGGACACCCAGAGATGGCGAGATGCACTTCCTATTATAACCAGTTTGCTGCTTACTGGAGAGATGCACAGAGCACTATGAGAGTGAAAATGCAGAAGGAGAGACAGGGAGGCCCCCTGACTGGGGAGTGGGGACAGGAAGGCTAAGGAGGAGGTTTGGGAGGACTTACGCAGTCTTCCAGTCTTGGGAGAGGTAGAATATTAACAATACTCCATGCTATAAAATTATCTGTCTTCAAGTTAACTATTCTGCAATCCTTATCAACATTAACCAGATAATTCCCTCTTCATTTCTGTGAATCCTTCTTAAGGACTCAGTTATTTAATTTGTAAATGTGATCTTGAAATCATCATCCCACCTAAATGTCCATAAACAGAACAAGTGGTGGTACAAGCACACTATGAAATACTATGGAGCAATTAAGAAGAACAGGTGGATGTATATGGACAGATAGGGAGCTATTTACTACCTCCTACTTTTGATTACAGTGCCAGTGGGGGTGCAGAATTATATTTTGTATCACTGCCCGTCAGTGAGTCTAGGCAGCACAATGAATTATGGTGGAATGTTGTGGGGTGGGGTAAGGTGCTGCCTTCAAGTTACTAAACCCCCAAGGGTAAAGCTGAGAACCTCTACTTTATATCAAAAGCAAAGAACACAACTCCTTTATCAATGATCCCGTCCATATACAGGATATGGTCACACACAAACTTTCTCTCTTTCTTTTTTTTTTTTGCAGTGCTAGGGCCTTGCACATGCTAGGCAAGTACTCTACTACCTGAGCTACGTCCTCAGGCATGCTTTTTTCTGAAAGCCTACAAAGGAAACTGTTAAGGATGGATTTCTCTAAGGAGAAGGACTAAACTGAGGGGATGGGAGCAGGTTCTTATATTTCATTAAATACCTTTCTGTACTTTGAAAAAATTTTAATCATGTGCATTCTTTTCACGTCCACTTTTAAAATATAGGGATATCTGGGCAGTGAGGCTGTGGGTCACATACAGCCTTTTTAAAAACTTTTTTGTATTGAAAAAGTATCTCCTGGCTGGGTACAGTGGCTCAGGTCTATAATCCTAGCTACTCAGGAGGCTAAGATATTGACGATCACAGTTCAAAGCCAGCCCAGACAAAAAAAGGTTCATAAGAGCCCATTCCAATCAATTAAAAAAAAAAAAGCTGGATGTGGTGGCAGGCACCTGTTACCCCAGCTATACAGGGGTCATAATTAGGAGGATCATAGTCCAGGCTGGCCTGGACATAAACATGATAAATGCAAGACTCCATTTGGGGAACATAAACCAAAACAAACAAAACAACAACAACAAAACTTGCCATGCTGGGGGCATGGCAAGGCCCTGAATTCAAACCATAGTAACACACACACACACACACACACACACACACACACAAAGTTTTACCAATAGACATGATGTTAAAAAAATCATTCTTCCTTTCCGTAGATGGAGATCCATAAACAGATGTTTAAAGGGTTGTGTATGGCTCCTAGTACATCTAATTCTAGTGATAGGATGCCATAGTGCTCTGGTTTTCTCACATTCCTGACTATCACCTTTCCTTGCATGGCCATGGAACTACTAATCAAGAGACCACTGTGTGTGTTCTGAAGATGGTGTGGCCTTCCTAGACTACAGGCATAGAGTGAGCACAATGGCACAATGCAGAGAACTGGAGTCATTTTTGGTTTGTCTTCACTCCTATTTTAAAAGTCCCTAAGTAACACCCTTTTTGCTGCACTGAAACACTGCACACTACTCATGAATAGAGAACAGTTTAAAACAAATCCTTTTGCTGCTAAAATCTCACTGCAAATGAATCTCTGCAAACACTCAAAAGCATTTTTATGCCACTCTTTTAAAGCAAACTGAGCAATAAAAATCATCCTAACTTTTTACAAAGCCTTGTTTTTAAGCAGTTCAGTGTAGGATCCCTGTTGGTGAGCTGCTTCTTCCTTCAAATTAATACTGTAGGATTAGTTTTCATAACAGAAAAGGGACTTGTTTCTCTGCTTTAAATGCATTTAAACCTGCTTCATACAGGATCATGCCAGTTCTTTCTTTGCCTGCACTGCAGGCCACACACATCTCAAAAACTCCAGGAAATGCAGTTTTTCTGCTGGGAGAAATAACCCCTCTGTTTAGCTTATTACTGTCAAAAATGACAATGCATTAGGGGCAATTAATGCTAATGAAAGCTTCTAAACCTGTTTCCCTGACAGCCAGCACAATGTCAATGAGTACTATTACACGCTTCCATTCCAAACTACTGTAATGCTCTTGGACCAATGATAGGTAACTTTAGGGAAGGTACATAGGACTTGGTGACCAGCTCTGAGGCCCTAAGTGTGAGTATTACTGACTTACGAAGTCAAGCTGTACATATGGCACAGACTGGAAAACACAAACACACACACACACACACACACACACACACACACACACACACACACACACACACAGAATCTAATGTGAGTAAAATGCTCATTCCTTCCGCCAGGAAGGAAA